GTTCATTTTATAGGGACAGAAAACTGACAAAGACAAACCGTTATACAGAAGTCTGATGTTTGAATCATAGGCTGTGTTCGAACGTCCGCCCTAACCCCTAAATCCCTCCATCACTATATACTCTATAGTGGACTCGGTTAACTGACCGTTTAGACAGATGATCACTACTTTTCACTCCCCGATGGTCACGTAACTCCGCCTCCCCACATGGTGCTTACGCCACCTTTGTTATCAGTGGCCGCTGTCGGGTAGTGACAATGCTCCGCTATGACAACAAATGCAACGATGCTTTGCTAAGAGAGCTCTTGCAAAGCATTCTGGGATATATCTGCTGGTCACTACGATCACTACGTTTCAGGGTGAACTTTGGGAATTTTCAAGTTCATTACTTTTTCATCCACTAGATGTCCGAACACTCATCTAAAATTAGGTAACCACTATATAGTGATTAGGACGGACATTCAGACACAGCTGTTCTACAAGACTCCAATGTTAAAGACGTATGTTAGAAAGCTAACAGTAAACCAGCTCCACAGGGGATCAGTCTGGGAAAGAAACATTTAAATAGACCTTAGACATTTAAATTGGAACTAAGCACTGAAAAACAGACATAACTTTACCATCTTCAATCTAAGGGTTTGATGAAAGCAGCACAGCTGATACTTTTACCTCTAGGATGATGTCACAGTTAAACAGGAACAGACCAGATGAAGCTACTATGATGAGGAAAAGAAAAAGAGAGCATTAGGTTAGAAGTTGAATGATGAAAAGTTGTCTCCATGTCCTCCAGCAGCCTAAGCCTATAGTAGCATAGTGGTATAGTTGGTTCCACAGAAGAGGAGCCTGATAGCTAAAAGATCTGCCTCCCATTCTACTTTTAGAAATTCTAGCAACCACTAGTAAACCTGCAGATTGAGAGCAAAGTGCTCTGTTAGGAACATAAGGAACAATCAGATCTATGATATCAGATGGAGCTTGGCCATTTAAGGCTTTATATGTGAGAAGGAGGAAGATTTTAAATTGTTAATTGTTGCTATTGTTTAAATGTTAGATAGCACTAAAAAGTTTTCTTAAATTATAACTTGTAATGTTCATCTGTCCCTGATGCTTGGTTATGAGGTCTGTTTGAAGGTGATGAGTTCTACCGGGGGGTATTTTTTTGGGGGGGCGGGTTGAATCCTTCTGTGTAAATGTGGGGGAGTGGGAGACAAATGGTTGCATGCCGGTCATGTTGCTACACACTAGCCTGTGTCTGTTTTAGGCTTTTACCCTACCGTAGCTCTCCTCTCGCAAGGGCATGAGACCCCCACACCGCCAGGGGTCTCTAGCTGCATCTGTGAGGAGTTACTTGGGTCTGCGTGAGTACTCACCACAGATCTGTGCCTCTTTCTGCTTCCTGTTTCTGTCCTCTTCTCTTACTATACTCTTTTCCTTCGATCTGTTGAAGCTGTTAGAGATAAATAAAGCCTCCCTGTTACACCCCCCACCGTCCATTAAAAGGCTGCCTTTTCTTCTGTCAGATGCCTTTATGGACTTTTAGATTCATGTTCTTATAAAACACATTTTTTAGCGATTTATTGTCTTACCGACTTAAACGTAGGTTACAGAACTTAAACACATTGCTGTGATGTTACAGTACAGTTAGATGTCACTGACTGCACATTTAAATAAAGCTTATTACGTTTTGGAAGTTTCTGGATGTGTAATCTTCTCCTTCCTTTCCCCTCCCTTTAGGTTTCACCGCCATCACAGCTACAAATCCAATATGGCTCATAAAGACGCGGCTACAGTTGGATGCGAGGTAAATATTACACTTGGATGGCAGATTTAGAAACTGCAGGATGGTTCTGGTGGGAACAACAACACCAGCTGCTTTGGGAGCTGTTTTTCACGGGATGCTAAATAGTTTAAGCTTTGCAGATCCATGTTTGGGACAGAGCTAAGATGTCCTCTGTTCAACTTGCAAAGGCTA